CATAAATTTAATTGTCACACTTGCCCTTCAAGATTGATTATATAGCTGGGCACAGTGGCTTGTGCCTGTAATCCTAGCTACTCCAGAGGCTGAGGTCGGAGGATCAGTTAAGCCCAGGAGTTAAAGGCTGCAGTGAGCTATGATTGTGCCACTGCACTCCAGCCTGGGTAATAGAGCAAGATCTTATCTCTTAAAAAAAAAAAAAAAAAAAAGAATATTTGTCCTTCTTAGCCTTAAGCAAGACTTTAAAGACTTCAAAACCTACTATTTTAGGCAACATTTGTCTTTTTAATTTTTTTAATTCTAGTGTGGTGCAGTGAAAAAATACAGGCTTGGAAGTCAGAGACCAATGTTCAAATCCTAGATTATTTAACCTGAATCTTAGTTTCTTCATTTATAAAGTAGAAATAACAGCTCTTTATTATAGAGTTATAGGGAAGATAAGAGGTAATATATTAATACATATGGTGCTTAGCATGGTGTCTGCTACATAGTAAATGGACAATAATGGTTAGTTATTATTAACATAAAACAATAGTTATAGTTTAATGAATCTAGTAATTTGTTTTTTGAGACAAAGTCTCACTGTCACCCAGGCTGGAGTGCAGTGGCATGATATGCTCATGCCTCAGCCTCCTGAGAAAGTTGGACTACAGGCACATGTCATCACATCCAGCTAATTTTTTTTTTTTTTTAGACATGGGGTCTCTCTATGTTGCCCAGGCTGGTCTCGAATTCCTAGGCTCAAGCAATCCTCCCGCCTCAGCCTCCCAAAGTGGTGGGATTACAGGTGTGAGCCACCATACCTGGCCTGGTTTATGTCATGAAGGGAATGCCTTAAAATTATCTCAAAGCGAATGTTTTTGAGGTGCCAACACAGGCAGTAATGAAAAATAACTTTTTTGAAACATAATGTAATTTTTATGTTGAGAAGTAAGTCCTGTAAATTTGTTTTCCCCAAATTGAATATCACTTACCTGACAGCCACTGTATAGGATGAAATAAATCAATGCTGCTGAAGATTATAAATACTGTGGTACAGATGGGTAGAAGCAGCACTGACCAAACAATACTTAAAACTATCCTCCAGCCCAAAACCTATAATTAAACAAAAAAAAACCTCACAATCATGAAGTCAGTTAAATTATTTCAGTTATGCAAATCCTGTCTTTTCACACAGGATGTTAATCACTAATATTTATAATCCAATCATAGTACACAACCCAAATGGTTACTGCTATTAATAACATTACATACCACTACAGAATCTTGTAATATCAGTGAACTGATGCTTGCATTAGTCCAGAGTCAGGTGCAACATTAAATATCACACTTTGGGGGGAAGGGTGAGATTGCCTTATTTAGTTTTATGACTATATTTTACAGTACCTACTACTCATTTCCCTAGGTTTAACTGACACTTACATCAATATCTAAAGGCTGACCTGTAATCCCAGTGCTTTAGGAGGCCAAAGTCAGGAGGATTGCTTAAGGCCAGGAGTGCGAGACCAGCCTGAGCAATATAGTGAGACCCTGTTTCTACTAAAAATAAAAAAAGTTAGCCAGGCATGGTGGTGCTGGCCTGTAATCCTAGCTACTTGGGAGGCTGAGGTGGGAGGATCACTTGAGCACAGTTCAAGTTTCCAGCCGGGGCAATATAGTGAAACCCTGTCTCAAAATAAATAAATAAGGGCCGCATACATTTTATGGGAGCCATCTGTATATTGTAATTTTATTTACAATTATTAGATATGTCCTCCTTACTGAGCAACTACTGTATTGTACCATTGCATTTATGTCTGAATCGCCAGTGTCTATCATGTAGGAGGCAAAATATTTACTGGTGAATAAGTAAATACAAGGAAAAATACTGAGGAGTTTTAAGCTCAAAAGTGACAATCGAATTTATGTCCTAGAAGGTAAAACATATTTGTGTTTACTTTAACATGGCTGTAAGAAGATGAATCAGAAGGGACTAGAACCAGACTGGAGACAAAACAGTTAGGAGCAAGTCCACCGCCAACAAAGACTAAAGCCCAAGCCAAAGATGATAGTCAATGTCTAAACAAAGGTCGTGGCAACTGGAAAGGAAAGAGGAAAAAATTGCAGCCACATTTGTGAGGTAGAACCTACAGGACTCCGTGATTGATAATACAGGTGGTAAAGAACAGATAAGAGTTAAGAACCCAAAGGTTTTTAGTTTGGGACAGAGGAGAGAGCGGTACGCTGGGGTAGAAGCATTATTCCGAAAGGAATCTTACTGCTCTAACTTTGCCCTCCACAGAACGCATGCAGTACTGTTAATTTCAACAACTTCAAGGAGGAAGTACTCTCCCCTCAGCTCAGTCCTACAGTGCATATCTAACTCTTAACTTACAAAGAATAACTGCCCTGTTTGCCTGTTCCCCAACGCCAGCTTCTGCTAAAGCCACGCCACACTCCTTCCAGTTCTGGACAGTCCCACTTACTTTGCACCTGCTTATTTTACACTACCATGGCATAAAACTCCCCTTTCTCTTCAGCCCAACCCTCTCACTCCGACCAGCTTCCACTCGGGACTCCTCTCCCACCCCGCAAGCAGCCTTCACTCAGGACTCCCCACAACCCGCCAAGCAGTGCCCCAGCCGGTGTCCTCCGCACACTACCCTCGGACCAGCCCCTCGTCTCCCAGCGCGCACGCGCGGTCAGAGCCCGTCCGCCCAGCCCGACCCTAGCAGCGCGCCACAGCGCACGCCGCACTCACGTGCCACAGTATGTCCCGCGACCTGCCGGCGCAGGACCCACTCAGAGCCGTGGCCATGGAGATGGCGGACCCCACTCTAAGGAGTGCCGGAGACAGTGTGCCCGCCCGCCACCGTGGTTCAAAGGGAGGAAGGCCCCAGGAGGACCCTGTTGGGGCTGCCTTAAGCGCTGCCTGAGCGAAGCCCGGCCCAGGCCTCAACTCATCCCTTCGATAGTGCGTCTGGACAAGCTCAACGGGCTAGAACTACCCTGCAGACTCGTCCTCGAGAGGGGGCTGTGACTCCAGAAACCTCCCTCTGTAGTCCGAAAGGTATTTGGGAAGCAGGGCCCAGCAGGGCGCCAGAAACCGCGGTGGGCACTGGATGCTGGGAACTGTGGTCTCCACGGCCCTCTGGAGGAGGCGGAGCGTTGCATTCCGCGATGGGAGTTCTAGAGTACAGCATGCTGGGAATCGTAGTCTTCTGTAGAACCAGTGCAAGCCACGATATGGATTGATTGGCATTCTGCAGTTAAAAAGATCTGACAAAGTGCTTTGCCTTCATTTCTCCGAACTACTTTGTCAACCGCCTAAAAGTGAAATCAAAAGATGTTGTGGCCCTCTCCACAATAGATACTCAGTAATTTTACAGAAATCGAAAAATCTCTCTCTAGAGATGCATTTGGTTTCATGTGCTCTGGTTTCTAGTTCCAGCGCTGCCATTTGCTAAGTGGAATACCTTGACCTTCTCTGAGCCTCAATTTCTTCATCTGTAAAATAAGGATGAAAATAAAAATATCCTGGAGATGTTGTGAGGATGTGAATAATATGCTACACAAATAGTGATTATCGTTGATTTCCTGCCAGTAAGTAAAAAGGCCTTTCACAAACCCAAGTTTCACCTAATGAAGCCTTCTCTGATTGCTTTATACCTCAGTGAGATCCCTGGATACATACTGCTAACACCTTTTTATACTCAATTACATGCCATGGTCAACATTCAATACTCTAGAAAGAGAGAGAGAGAGAGAGTTTCATTGATTTTACTGACTTACTGACTCTGAAGAAACTCATAGGCTAGTGAGAGAAATTGAGATCACATATACTGCTCTGTAATGTTTGCTAATAACGGCTTCCTGAGTTGCTTTAAGATTATAGCTGCTGAAAACATCACAAGTGCCCACAACTATCTGCAGTTGCTCCCTGAGCCTTAGTTTCCTTGTCAATAATAAAACCATCTTGCAAGATGCTGTAGTAAGTGAGATTTTGCTTGTAACTTATCTGGTAGTCTGTAGAAGGATTACAGGTTTTGGAGTCAAATAAATACAGGTATGAATACCTGCTCTACCACTTAATAGCTGTAGGGTCTTGGGTGAGGCTCCATGATGCCTCATCTCCAAGAGGAAGATGCAGGATCAAAGGCTTTTCACAGGAATACTTAAATGTCCGCGACGCGATAGGTAAAGGCTTTGGAGTCAGACAAATGCAGATTTGAATCCTAGCCCCTTGCTTAATAGCAGGTTAGCTTGAGCAAGTAACTCAACCTCTTAGTGCATCAGTTTCCTCAACTGCAAAAAGGCGGATAATCTTTATTTCTATCAACCTATCTAAAATTGAGACCCCTTACTCACCTTTCAAGTAATGTGATCACCATTAATACTGTTCACTGAGTATTTCCAGCTCTCTGCCGTCTAGGCACATGATAGGATTGCACTTGACAGTCCCCTTTGAAGTTAGGTACAGCCGTGTGACAGCTCTAGCCAATGAATTGTGAGCACAAGTGACATGTGTCATTGTTTTTTTAGATGGAAGGTTTATACTTATTTATGTCATTACAAAGTTTTGGCAGTAGATTTACAACAGATTACCAGGTGAAAGAGGGCATAAGCAACAACTACAACCGTCAGGATTGACAAGTTGAGATAGAGGATATCTGATAAGAGAAATTTTACCCCACTTGGTATCAAAGACACCAGTAGACTGTGGGTCCTTCCTGTTGCCTTGCACATAATGTCCGACCCAGGGCTGGGTTAGAAAAGAAACATGGGACCTCTGAGTGCAGAGGTAATAGTTGTACCCTGTCCTCACTATGTGTCATTTTAAACTGGAATTTAATTGCCATTGTGAGACCCTCCAGAGCTCTCTTTTCCTCTGGCCTAGTGACCAGCAATATTTGAAATGGTGCTTGCTCCATCACCCTGGGTGCCTGAGTGACTATGATGGACAGAGTCTCCTGCCAACCTGTGAGGAACTTGTAATGTGAGCAGGAAATAAAACTTTGTTGTTTTAAGGTGCTGATATTTTGTTAGTTGTTATTTTAGAACAACCTAAGCTATCCCAAACAATACCAATGGTAAGCCTAGAAATGCAGTTACCTGAAGAGGATTTGAAAAGTCCTCGAAAAACTTTGTTTTGTGTATCACGTTATTAATTCATCCCATCAGCATTTACCAGGCAAGGAGTGTGACCCAGGCACCGTGCTAGCCCTGCGGGGGAATACACTGGAGCACAGTCCCTCATGTCAGGACCTTCCTGTCTGGTAGACAAGGCCCCATCTTTAGACACTCACTCTCCTCAACCACACTTTCAACCGATGCATCTGGTAGAACTGGTTTTATTAGTTTTTAGTCTATGAGTTATTTTTGGAAAAGGGATGAAGGCAGGAAGTATAGGTCTAAGAAACTAAAACTGATCTGCTTACACATCCCTCTCCTCCTCACGATCACATCATGTTTTTTTCTGTCTTCCCATCTCTGCTTCAGCTGAACTTTCTGCATCTTCAAATTCCATGTCTTCCATGAAGCACTTCCTGTTGAATCCCTCCTTCTAAAAAATCCTGTAATTCTATCACTCATTGGTTACATCCTGCCTTCAGTAGCATAGTAGAGAAAGCACAGATTTTGGAGCCAGACAGTCTTGGGTTTAAGTCCTAGTTTTGCCCCTTCCTAACCGACAAGGCTAAAGACCTTGCTTTGGTTGAACATTAACTATGAATTGGGCACTGTAAGTCACATACATAAATTTAATTGTCACACTTGCCCTTCAAGATTGATTATATAGCTGGGCACAGTGGCTTGTGCCTGTAATCCTAGCTACTCCAGAGGCTGAGGCAAGAGGTTTGCTTGAGCCCAGGAGTTCAAGGCTGCAAGGAGCTATGATCACACCACTGCACTCCAGCCTGGGCAACAGAGGGAGACCCCATCTCTAAAAAAAAGAAAAAATTGATTGTATATATACTCTTTTACAGAGGAAGCCAAGCTTAGAAAGAGATTCACACTCACTCATATCTACTTGAATATTTCAACTCTTATATGAAGAATTTTTCATTGTGTGGTCTATTTTATTTGCTTGCTCTCTTTTTTCTTAATATTTACAAATGTTTGTGTTCTAATCGTTTCCTTTATATAACATCTTTAATCTCCTCTATTTGGGGGAAGGGTGATTATTTATTGTTTTCCTCTTATGAACAACATAGATATTATTTAGTAACTTCTCTCATCCCTTTCTTTTCCTCCAGGGTGAGATTTGAAGCAATATTCTTTTACTCTCAGATAATAACTATAAGGCAATCAGCGAGCTTTTCTGCTTTAAAAATGCTCTCCCCATTCTCCTTCCTCTGTTTTCAGTTATACTGCATATTCATTTTAAGCCTTTACAAACTCTACTCTCTCCTTTATAATCATTATTTATTCTTAGTACTACAAGTAAATACATATTTAGTGCTTGCCACCTGCTAGGTCAGTGTCTCACAGGTCATTTTGGTTGTCTGAAGTACATTCCCCAGAAGATGCCTCAGAAAGGTCTCGTGGAAATATCCCCTGTGTTCTTCCATGTTGATGACATTTTGTCTGTGGCCTTTACACCTGAAAGTCAGTTTGGCTGGATATAAAATCCTTAGCTCACATTTCTTTCTTTGGGTATCTTAGATGTTACTATTGTCTTCTGACATAAAGCACTGCCATTAAAAAGTCTAATGACATTCTAATTTTCTTTCCCTTGTAAGTGAATTTGCCTTTTAGCCTAGATGCCCCAGATTTTTTTTTCTTTAAAAGATATGAATTTTACTAGAATACATCTCAGTGTTGATCTTCTGCATTGATTTCCCAAAGTATGAGATGTGCCCTTTGTACAAGTAGTCTTTTTTTTTTCCAGGAAATTTTTAATTATAGGGGGTTTTTTTTGTATTATTCTCCTTTATTTATTTTTTATTATTACTTTTTTTTTTTTTTTGAGATAGAATCTTGCTCTGTCGACCTGGGTAGAGTGCAGTGATGTCATCGTAACTCACTGCAACCTCAAACTCCTGGACTCAAGCAATCTTCTGACTCAGCCTCCCGAGTAGCTGGAACTACAGGTGTGCACCACCATGCCCAGCTAATTTTTCTATTTTTAGTAGAGATGGTGGGTCTTGCTCTTGCTCAGGCTGGTCTCAAACTCCTAAGCTCAAGCAGTCCTCCCACCTTGGCCTCGCAGAGTGCTAGGATTACAGGCATGAGCCACCTCATCCAGCCCCTGTATAATGCTTTAAGGGAATAAAAAGTGAAAAGAAGGAGAAAATTTACATCCCAGAATGAGTAAAGAGAAATCAAAGAATTTAAGAGAAAGTTACGAATATAGAAAATAGAGCCTGAGGCTGGCAGCCACAGAGCAGTGATCACTGGACCGTAAGATCCACAAGAACAGGGAGCTTATCTGTTTTGTTCACTGTTCTAGCCCCAGTACCTAGAATAGTGGCCAGTATATATAGATGCTCAGTATATATTTACTGAGTAAACACGTGGGAGGGATCTTCAGCATTTGACAAGAGATTTGCCACAGTGACCACAATAAGCTCACTGTAGCCGGAATTTGTGTGTGTCTTCATCTGCCTGGTCAACCTTTTAAGTCCAGATGTGCCTTTATAGCTGTCTCAGAACTACGTCGAGAACTCTGTGTGGGAGAGGACAACAGAAACTGGGAAATCAGCAATCCTGACCTGTCAGAAGCTCAGCCTCCCCACCAGTATGCATTTTCAACAAAACGTATAAAAAAAAAAAACCTTTGCCGTGTCACTGGTTTCTTTCTTTAATGGACTCTAGCTGGGAAGTCATGCTACCTTTAAGAGGCACTCAAAGAGCCTAAGAGAATTTTCTAAAATCTGTGTCTCAAATTGGGTTGTAAATAAACATGTTCTTTCAACCTAATGTTCTAACAGGAGGAAAAATCCAGATGTCCATTTTAACCCACATGTCACAACAGCTAGCACATTACATCAGATTCCCAGCAGCCTCTAGCACACTAAAGACAAAACATCAAGGAAAAACCTGAGGTCAAAGTCACGAAATGCAGACACACAGACATTATGTGAGGTATTTATTTTGCAACCATTAGGCTCAGTTGCAGTACCTGGTTAGCAAAGATAATTAATCCCAACCAAAGTTTCTACTGTTTGGCTACTTTAGGATGGCTAGCATTTGGAGGCAGGAGGATCACCTAAGGGAATCTGTATAGAATTCAGAGAAAGGACATCACAAGTTAGGATGGGTCTATTCCAGGCAGAAGGTAGTCAGGTGCCTACAGTGGAGCATGTCATATGATGGGAGGCAATGGGAGGGCACTGAGCATGCCTGACCCGTTCCCTAGCATTTCACTCCAAATCAGCGGATAGTCGCAATGAAGATCCAAGGGCACAAAAGAAGAGCTGAAGACACATGTGCTGAGCAACATTTATTTTTGTTTGTCAAATAGGTGATTAGGTTTCAGTGTGGTACCATCCGGACACTGGGGGTCTGTCCCACTCCATCAATTCTCCTGCTGGCTCTGGTCATTCTAGGATCCTGCAGTGGATGCCATGTCCAAAAGAATTACACTCCAGAAAACATTAACAGAGAACTGAAAAACAAAAAGAGAAACCATCAGGATAAAGATCCCCCCGACAGAAGGGAGCTACGTTGTAGAAAAGGGGATTTAATTATGTTTAGTGGTGTAACTTCAACACCAGAGCAGTCTGCTGTCACCATTTCCCAAAATCTTGAGCATTGAGCCTGATTTCTGTGCTCAAAGTGGAGATTACTGTTGGAGGAAAGATTATATTTTAAAAAGTTTTCCTCTATTTCCTTGGAAACCCAGTGACTATCTCTGAACCAGATCCCAAAGCTACCTTCACCCATTCTTTTCTCTCTGTTCTCTGTGACAGGACTGTGTTAGGTGCTGGAAGAGGAAAGACACAGTGGATATGGAGGGACTTAAAAGATGTGGGAAGCGGAAAGCTATCTGTGGTAGCTGAAACATAAGGCTATACAGGGAACAATGGCAGGAGATGAGGCAGCACAAATAGATTAGGGGTAAATCATGGCAGTACAGGGAGTTTGGATTTTGTCCTTTAGATGACAGGAGGCCAAAAAAAGGTTTTTAAGTTGGGGAGTGACCAAGTCAAGGGTATGATCAGTCACTCCTGTGACTGCATATAGGATGGATTAGAAGGAGGAAAAGAAAAGGTTATTACCACTGTTCAAACATGAAATGACTGGGTCCTGAACGCTGGGTATGGTATTGATAGGACAGAGTTGAAGAATATTTCCGAGGTAGAAGAGGTAAGTCTTGCTGCCCAATAAGATACGGAAGGTAGGAGGGGAGAATCTATGTTGATGCTGGGGTTCCTAGCTGGGGTGACTGTGTGGATTTCTTAATTAATCCAACAGATGTTTATTGAAGACTCACGCCAGGCGCTGGATATAATGATGAACAAGACAGACATGGTCCCAACTCTCAAGAAACTTACAGTCTACCAGGGGAAACAAGAGGGCAAACAATACATAAAACATTATTTATTTAATTACAACCCTAAGGTACCGGGAGAAGATAGAATAAAGAATCTAACCTAGTGTGCGGTCAGGGACAGTGTGGATGGTGATGCCATTCGCTGAGACAGGAAAATATAAGGGGATCTGGTTGTAGGAGAGGATGAGTTTAGTTTTGGATATAATGAATTTGAGGCTATACCTCACTGAGGAATTGCAAGAGATGGGAACTTGGAGCGGGGAGCCAGAGATGGGGTTAAATATAGGGGAGACTAAGGAACGTGGTGGAGAAGGGTTCCTCGGGCATGGCCTTCCACTTAAGAGAATGAGCCAGGCTTCCTTGGAGCATGAGGGGCAGTACCACATTCAGATATCAACGTTTCGTCACACCATGGAGGTGAGGTTGAGTCAAGGGCTATCTGCCTAGGTCTACTGGCTCAAGAAAAGGGAGACATTGCCAAAAAAATATCTGTGCAATGCGGCTGGAGAAGGATGGAAGTTGTGATTTGCTGGAGTGAAAGAACCTAAAGCCTAACCAACCTTCTAGTAAACATCAGCTCAGGTTTCTGAAATGCTATTATTATTATAAAGGTAGGGACAAATAAGCCCACAGGGCCAGCACTAAAGATTTTATTTTCATATATACTCTGTTTTTCTCTTGTCTTTCCAGCTGTCTGTTCCAAATTAGTGTCAAAACTGGGGAGAATCTGAAAACAGAAAATTCCCTTCTCTTGCTGCCAACTTCTAATGGGTGGCTTGTGGCCTATAGAAAAGAGGTTGGGAATTCCTGGCACTTAGGCCAGAGGGTGGAAAGCAAGATGATACTGCCCTTTGTGCCAAACTTGGTCCAAAATAGCACCGTCAGCCAGCACTTCCTCACCTCTCCAAGATTGCCTTTACTTCCTCTCAGCCTAAGACCTGACTCCTGGCCACTTTTAGCTCCCTGCCTTAGGTGGCCACACATGACATGGGCATTCCCTGCTCTTTTCCTTGCCCCAGCCCTACACCCAAGCCTGGCCAGTGCTACCACCGCCTGACCTGGGGTGTTCCAATCAGAAGTTCCCATAGGTGTGATTCTGTCTTTAATTTAAAAGGGCCTTCAAGTCTGTGTGATGCATGAAACATAAAATTAGGGTATAGAATCTTGGAGGGTAAGGAGCTACCTATCGCCATTGTTCACCCCAGTAGCCTCAGCACCTAGCAAGAGTAGAACTTCCATGAATGAACAAGACTTCCCAAGTACCTTGGCAAATAAAGCCAGGAATGTCTGAATGCCATGTGATACACATATCCACTGTCACTTGTTCAGAATCGAACTTTCTCTGAGTGTCTGCTGGGTCTGGGGCTACACCGGTAAATAAAGCTCTGCCCTCATGGAACTCCCAGTCTATGATGTTATAGTAAATAAGAAAATTGTCATAAGAGAACACACAAAGAGCTATAGAAGAACACCGAAAAGAAAGTAAGTAATATTACCTGGAAAAGTCAAGAAAAACTTCACCAAGGAGAGGGTGTCTGGGTGGATCCTGAAAAATAAATAGGAAATTGCCAAGTAGAAAAGCAAGGAAGAGCATTCTAGAAATTAAAAAAAAAAATTCTTAGAAGATTCTAAAGCAATGTTTCCAGTAATTAGTGGTAGTGCTGGTACCTGTCAGTATTAGATTATTGTGAGTATATAATAGTGGATAAAACAAGTACTTATTTGATATTCCAATTCTATCATTATTGGTGTCACTGAGAAGATCCTCAGTATGGGACAAAGGAGATACAGATAGAGGATAAAAGAATTTAGTAAAAACTTTATAATACTAAATTTGAAGTATCAGAATGAACTCACAATGTGTCTTCTTTATTTATTTATTATTTAATTATTTTTTCTTAGAGATAGGTTTTTACTCTCTCACCAGGCTAGAGTGCAGTGGTGCAATCACAGCTCACTGTAACCTCAAACTCCCGAGCTCAAATGATTCTCCCGCCTTAGGCTCCCGAGTAGTTGAGACTACAGGTGTGCACCACCACACATGGTTAATTTTTTGTAGAGATGGGGTCTCGCTATGTTGCCCAGGCTAATCTCTGACTACTGTCTTCAAGCCATTCTCCCACAGCAGCCTCCCAAAGTCCTGGGATTATAGGTGTGAGCCACTGTGCTTGGCCTCATGATATATCTTCTTTACAGAGAAAATAAACAAATAAAAATACAAACATATTTCCTGGCTCTGAACACTGAAAAGGTGTAAAAACAATAACCAAACCAGACGCGATAAGCATCACTAGAATCCAGAATCTCATCATGAAATACTATTTCCCCACTGAAAGGAACCAGGACTCCTTAAAGAAATGGCTCAGTCTGTGTCTGTGACAGGAAATGTTCAAAATGAGCCTGGAAGATTTTGTCATAACAGATAGAAACTATCAGGGGCTCGTACGGTCGTATCAGCAGGGCTCAAAAGCCAACTTGAAGAGGCTCCCAATGGCCAAAGATGGGACAATTTAGCATGAATAAGGATAATATTGGCAATGGACTGAAACTAACAGGTCATTGTTGAAGAGTGCTGATGAACCAACTATGTGAAAGCAGGTTAAAGAATCATTTCTCTTGCCTTTCTTATACTAACTATCCCACTAGATAACCAAAACAAATAGGAGATGGAGGTTTTTTTAATTAAAGAAGTATTCCAGTTAATAAACAAAAAAAGATAAAATTGAAATATCACCATTTTGAAGCCCCTAATGAATGAACAGATTTAGGCATCGCTTATTAATGGCCACTAACATCAAAAAGAGAGAGATAATTAGACATCATGAGTTTTGGGGACTGACGAATTTAACAGCACACATCAAGCAGTCTTGCCAAAACAAACATGAATCTGATCAAGCCTTTAGATGCAACCACCAATTCACAGAAAACAGGGAACAGAGAAACATGTTAAATGACATCATGGAGATAGAATCAGCAAGTGAGAAACTAAAAGATAAATGATTATTTGACAAATAAAGGGCAAGGCGAAAGAGAGAGGGGGAGATGGAGTAGGAATCTATGGATTTTAAGACACTTAAAATCTGTATCAACCAATTGCAATTAGTGGACCTTATTTGGGTCTGATTCAAATAAGCTGGAAAAAAAGTTACAATATTTGTGAAGTAATTTGAAAGGGAACAAAGAAGAAAACTGAGAAGGAAATAGCCCAGAAACTGAAAATGGATTCTCTGGGCAGGGACATTTCAGCCACAGTGTAGACAGGAATAGCGGCTGGTAGAAAAAGTGTCAGCTATGGTGTGAAGTCATGTGGTTTGGATGCTCTGTTACAGGGGATTATAGCACTGAGTTAAAGCCGACTTCAAAATAAAAGAATCGATGTGTTTAAACCTCGTAAAAAGGTTTGTACCTTTGGCTTATGAAATGAACACTCTCGACATGAGTGAGCGAAAGGATAATTGCATACAAACCCTGCGTAGCAAATCAAGAGGGTTTCAATTACACAGGACTCTTCAGAAACCCTTTGTTCATCTCTTATTAAAGCTCCTATCACACTGCAGTATAATTATCTGCTGGCCACCCTCCACTGGACAGAACCTCTTGTCACCACCCCTGGGAAGGTAGCCCCTATCTGGATGTGGTCCTTCAGAGATACTCCATCCCACAAGGCCAAAGCAGGGCTCCCCAGATACAGTTTCCAGGCTTTACCAGGGTCAGAGGAGAAATGGCACTGGCCCTCGGCTGATAAGTTAATGAAGAAGGAAGGAAGGAAGCCAGATATTCTTTATACTATTTCAATAACTGACGTAGGGTTGGATTCCTGATTATAAGCACAGTCATGCACCACATAAGGACGTTTCTGGCAGTGATGGACCACATATACGATGGTGGTTCTGTAAGATCATATTGTATTTTTACTGTATCTTTTCTATATTTAGATACACAAATACTTACCATTGTGTTACAACTGCCTACAGTATTCAGTACAGTAACATGCTGTACAGGTTTGTAGCCTAGGAGCAATAGGCTACTATATAGCCTAGGTGTGTAGTGGGCTATACCATCTAGGTTTGTGTAAGTACACTCTATGATGTTATACAATGATGTCATCACCTAATGACACATTTCTCAGAATGTATCCCTCATCGTTAAACGACACATGACTGTAATTGGAAGCTCCCCTATGATCCTGAGGTTCCAGAGAGAGAAGGGGTTAATGCTCTCCCAGGAACACACGTTCCAGGCTAAGCCTTCCAATGCACAGATTTACATGGGGAAGGTTACTAGTGAGATTAGAAACCATTCTTTTTCAGTGAAAGCTGGGAGTCTAGAGATCACAGTAGAAGGCACAGCCAGCTCATAAATCCATAGCACCCAGGGCTCTAGACGGCCCCTATATGGGCAAAGCAATTGATGCTTCTGCCAGGGAGGCTGCAAAGAAGCTGTTCATCACTATCTCATTTGGAGACCTGACACGCAAATGGAGGCACTAACACCCAAGTTTACAGACCTGAGCAAAGCCCAGAAGTGTGGAATCTGTGTAAACCAGGATGTGAGGTCTTCCAGGGCCCTGAGGGACAGGCTCTTCTCAGACACTGCTCTGACTCTCTGAAGGCCTTTACAACCAAAATGTAAGGAAGAAACTGCAGGCCCAGCTCTGGAGCAGGGTGAGAGGGCCCCTTGCCACAGTGATGTCGGGTATTCTGGGCCAAGGGGGAGACCCAGACAACTGTCATCATTGTGTTCTCTACCTCTGTCCCTCTCCAGCTGGGCTTGGATTTTCTCGTCCTCAGTGATGTGAGCCCACATCGTGTCATTGGGTCCCACTGAACAGCCCATGTCTTCACCTTCCCAAAAGCCATGGGAAGCAGACTTCTTTTTCAGAACGGCTAACTGACTGCTTCTGCTCAACCTCCAGGACCCAGTTCCAACAAGACTCCCTCTGTGAAGCATCTCTCCAGGGCAACTGAGTCACCCCCTTCAGTGGCCCCATGGTGCTCAGTAGAAAAATTGGCTGTGGCACTTCTCACACAACATGGCCATTATATGTTTAGCTATTTCCCCATCAGACTGAAGCTCCTTGAGGCAGAGACTATATATGATTTTCTAGGTTCCCAACGCCTGGCTCACAGAGGAGCTTTCCTCATCGTGTGAGTGAGAGAGTAAATGATGACCCAAGGCTCAGCGAGCCCTGGCATCTCTGGTGAAAGGCCACATCCCACCTTTTGTCTTAATTTTACCAAGGGTCACATCCAGCCACCCAACATTAACTGAGCACTTGCTCTGTCGTGCCAGGTGGGCAGCTGGCTAGGCACGGGGGGTCCAAGTCAAATAAGACTGCCCCTTCCCCATGGACTTGAGTCTAAGGAAGAGACCCCCCTGCCCTGGGGCTTCACTGCCAGCAATCAGGGGTGTCCATCTGCAGGAGCAGCAGAACAAGTGTGTAGTCAACGAAACTGTAATGCAAACAAGCCACCATGTGCTTGTTATAAGGGACCAGGCTCCCTAAACAACCCACAGAGGCAGAGAAAGGAAAATATTAGAACATCTACTTATATTTCATCAAAACATAAGGAATTAAGCTCTGAGAGGTACCATATGGATTGACAAAAGTATATGCAAATACTTCAAATATACACATATCACTGGTTTGTGCTTGTGACAGAGACTTTAAAACTACCTCCAATGATCCCTGCCTCCAGGTATTCATGCCCGTGTGCAATCCCCTCCTCCAGAGTGTGGGCAGGATCTGTGACTTGCTTCTAATCAATAGAATATGGCAAAGGTGATGACTGTCACTTTTATGTTCACATTATATAAGACTGTAACTTCCATCTCAATAACAGACTCTATTGACTCTCCCTTTACGGCCTTGATGAAGTAAGCCATCATTTGGAGACGCCCTGTGGCAAGGAACTGAGGGCAGCCTCCAGCTGACAGTCAGCAAGGAGGCCCTCATTCTAACAAGCCACAAAGAACGGAATCCTGCCAACTGTGTGAGTTGGGAAGCAGATCTTTTCCCAGTCGAGCTTTCAGATGAGACTCCAGCCCCAGCCAATACTTTAAGCGTAGCCTTGTGAGGGAACCTGAAGTAGAGGAACAAGCTAAGATATGCCCAGATTCCTGATCCACAGAAACTGTGAGAATGTATATCATGGTAATAATGCTGGGCAGCAATAGATAATACAGTACTCAAAACTCTTAACTGATAGGACATTCAATCAAAGAAATGTGGAGACTTCTGAACTACACATTTCTAAACCAGCAAAGGAGGTCTCAAAAAACAAAAACAAACAAACAAAAAAAACCACCCCAGAGGCAGCAACGGGACCCTACAAGTTTTAGTGGTAAAAAGAACACGTCTAAAAAATGGGAAAGTGGAAAACCTCAATAATTGGCTCACAAGACCTACGTTCGAGTCTCTGTTCTGCCTCTAAAAGGTAGATTCTCTTAGTCAATTCAGACTTATTAAGCTCAGCCTCCTCATCTATGCAATGGGATCAATAGGGCTGGTAAGAGTGGCCAATGAGAGAATGATCTAGAAAGTGTTTTGTAAAATGGTATGTGATACATATGTGTCAGTTTGCCACAGAACTCTGGGGTGGCCTTGGGCAAGGCACTGTCCTCCCTTAGCCTCAGCTTCCTTAGTGTACAATGAGGAGGGAAGCCCAAGCTAACTCCAAGGGCTGTGACCTTCGTTGATTCTAACATCTCATACTCAGGAGAAGGAGGGAAGAACAGAGGGTGATGGACTGTGACATTTTATAATATAATAGTTCCTTAGTAATTCCACTGGCCAGGGTGATTATCTAACCAAAAAGGTCACTAGAGGCACCTTTAACCCAATAACATCTTGTCAACTTGCAGGGCCTACAACCTGAATTCCTCAACCAAGAGGGAAAATTTCCACTTGTTTTACAAAAAGGAAATAGAGTCAAGCTAAAGTCAGTGGGAACCACCAAATTCCAATACAAATTACTAACCCACTCTCAGAGGGGCAGCAGCTTCTATTTTATTACTGAGCACCTTAACTATGTGCCAGAAGCTTTTATAAACATTATCTCCAATCTTAAGACCTTAGTCTTAAAATATAGGTTGTGTTATCTGTACTTTATAGATAAGTTGTGTCATCCTTACTTTATAGATAAGTTAGCTGAGGTGCAAAGAGAGTAAGCCCCTTGCCCAGAGCACGTTACTAGTACATGGCAGGGCTGAGATTCAATTTTAATTCTATTTGATTCTAAAGCCCCTGGTTTTTGTACATACCCCGTTGCTCTAGGAGGCAGCAGCTTGGGCAGAAAGGACAATCTGTGATTACAATACATAGTAAAGGTTCTTGGCCCTTGGGATCATGCACAGAATGTGGTTCCATTCATTCATTCATTCCACAAACATTTACTGAGCACCCACTGTAAGACAGGTTATGTGGTGGGCAATGAAGATAGAGAGTAACACCATTCCTTGTTCTTATGGAGATGAGTCTAACTGGGGAGACACTCTAGTACACAGAGGACAAATGAATAAATAAATGACTGAATAAACGGACAGATAGGCGGATGGACACACAGTCAACAATTAGTGTTTCAAGCGCCATGACACATGAGGTATAATACAAAGGGGATCATCAGAAAAGTGATGACTGTTGGAAAGGAAGAAAACATTTCAGACAACTGGAACAGCAAGTGCACAGTAAATGGCAAGATGTTCAGCATGGCTGCAGCTTCGGTATACCGAGGAGGTGGAACAGGAGGACAAGGACCAAGCCATGAAGTTCAGTCTTTCTCCTGTACTCTAACCCACTGAGCTAACCAGTGACAGTGGGATCATCAAAGAGGCCGAGAACAATGAGGCATGAAAATGGGTAAGCTCTGGAGAACCTCATGAGTAATTCAAAACGGGTTACACTCAGGGTCTGAGGCCAGCATTAGGGTCACAGAGACACCAGAAAAAAACCCACGAGGACTGTTAGCAAATGGAACAAACCTATACTATGCTGCTGGAAAGGGTTCAGGGAAGAAAAGAGAATCCCCTTTGCTGGGATAAAAGCAGGAGCTGCTCTTACAGAAGAATCTAAGAACTCATGTTCCCCATTTGTACAAAGCCAACATCATGTGAATTTCAAAACTAAGCCTTCAACAAGAGGAACACGTGCACATACCCACATTAAATCGTGCAGAAAGATAAAAGAGTCTGGCCCTCTCTGTTCTTGACGCTAACAGTAACAGAACCGATGCACCTGCCCACTTTTTACTGTACCACACAGCAATAAGATAAAAACATACTCTCTTACTTTCCTCATTAGCTGGACTTAGCTGCTGCAACTGTTTGGTTTGGAGTAGCTGTAGTTGTTGGCAGATGGTCCATCTCTGGTGCATCAAAAAAGTACGCCTGCAGGAAAAGAGACCCAAGAGGGAGTTAAAAAACAATGGTACAGGTGAATGTTCTTCTAGACGCCATGTTAACTGTATAGTATGTCTGGGCCCTCGTGGTCCCTACATTCCCCTACCATATTTGTCATCACACTGAACTACAATTGTCTCTGTTTATATTTGTCTCACTTACTCAACTGTGAGTACCTTTTTAAATTTAGCTACCATTTATTGGTTGAGTACTATTATATATTACATGACCAATCCTGTGAGGTGGTTACAACTATACTCATTAGACAGATGAAGAAACTGAGGCTCAGAGAGACTGTCATTTGACTGGTGTACATGGCTAATGAGTTGTGAGGCCAGGACTCAAAGCAAGGTCAGTCTGACTCCAAAGCACAAGCTCCTAATCACTATATTATACAGTCTTTCCTCTAGGACAGAGACTATCCTTCTTAATTTTTGTGTCCCCAGCACCTCGCACAGGGCCTGGCACACTATGTAAATCATCAGTATTTAATGAACTGGACACCATTAGATTGCTGCTAAACCAGTTAGTTGGCTCTCTGTGAAGGCCTTGAAAAGAAGTGCTAAGCATGCTGTACCTAATAATTCCTCAGCTAGGAAATGAAAGATTTGGTAAGTGCTTCCACTCACCATCTACAATTTAACTGTCAAAAATCAGACGGAGGTGGAAGACGGAAGACATCAGGGACGATCTTTCTACCTGTCTCAAAGTCTGAGAATCCTAACTTTAGCACAGTAAAATACCAATCTCACTAGCATTGGACACTGGTTGTTCATAGGAAAGGTGAATCTGTTACGACATCAAGGACCACTGAATGCTCATGACGCCCCCTTGGTGTCAGTGACTTAGGAAGGTAAAAAGTTAAAAAGCCACCAAGTCTCCAGGCACAGTGGCTCATGCTTACAATCCCAGCACTTTTGGAGGCTAAAGCAGGAGGATCACTTGAGGCCAGGAGTTCAAGACCAGCCTGGGCAACACAGCAAGGCCCTGTCTCTAGAAAAAAAAAAAAAAAAAGCCACCAAGACCCATTTTACACCAGCTCTGCTCTCTATCAGCCAGAAGGGGGCACCAATGCAACATGCTAGAGCTTTCCCCAACATTGCTAACGTGTTAACTTTTCAACGGTCCTTTTCAAAAAGTTTCCAGATGACACCTTTTTATGCAGACTCCCTCTATCTAGCTTGCTACATTACAGAGTAATTCTATTGCTTTAAAAGTCTTCCAGCCCAGGGCCCCTTCCAGCAGCTGTTCTCTGTGGCAGGGAAAGAACAGCACCTAACTTCAGGTGGGGACAGGGGCCACACTGCCAGTGCTGGACTCCCCCAGATCTGTCTCAGGTATACTGAGCCACAAGCCACAAGGATGCAGGAACAATGTTTTTCTTCCAGGCTATGGAGGAAACGCTCATAAGAGCCAAGAGGCCCAGGTTCTAAACCTAGCTCTGCTGCTAACTCACGCTGTGATTTTGGACAAGTCACTCTACCCATGTGGGCCTCAGTTTTCTTATCTGTAAAATGTAGGGATTGGAAAAGATGCTAAGGGTTATTCCTTGAGCAAGCTTTAATTCCATGATTCATTAGTTCCACAAATGCTTGATAACAACCACAGCCATCATTTGGGGAATACCTACTGTGCACCAGGCACATATTAGATCATTCGTCTACTCAGAAACTCTGTAATGGGCAATTTCATCCCCATTTTAAAGATGAAAAAGCTGAGGCTCGAAGAGATGGAGATTTTCCCAAGGCTACACAACTGTGTGTCTTAGCTAGCGTTTCAATCCAGGCTTATCTGCCTCCACAGTCTATGCTCTTCTATTCTCCAACACATCCTGCAATTTGGCACCTAGTCTATGCCCGGTCCAGACCCAGACACTGGGGAGGCCTCAGAGCTGAATCGGCAGGCTGTCTGTGAGTTGGAGTAAGGCACAGTTCCCTTTAAAATCAGCAGTAACCACTGCAAACATAGGCTTGTACATCTATAAACATATCAACCAAGGACACACCCTCTGGGTACTTCCTTAGTCTTCCCTGCCAGGTGTGCTCCAGTACAAACTTGGCGATCATTTACATGTGCAGTCACTGGGGGGGCCCTCTGCAGGTGTGGGGCTGTCATATGCTTCACTGCACTAAGGCAAAAACACCAATGCGTGTGCCTCAGGGGAGAGCAAGAAAGCCAGGCTGTCTGGTTCAGCCGGTGCCCCTCAGCTCAAATAACTCCCCTGCCAATTCCTGTCTCTGCTCTTCCAATAATAATAATGTCTTCTGTTTGTATGACTTGTCCTATTCTTCATGCCGCAAATATCATTCAATCCTTACAACAACAGTAAAGATGTCACTATGGTGTGCACAATCAGCTCCTTTTTGTAAGTGAGGAGGAGGAGTCCAGAGAAGGGAAATAACCAAAGCAGAGAATGGGGGAGCTGGGACTGGAACCCAAGTCTTCTAACTTTGGGGTCAGCCTTCCTGCACTGCACATCTCCAGTGTAGAGAACAAAACCCTGGCACAGTGGGCCCTGGCTAAACACCTGACTATGGGATGGTTCGCTTCCTCCAGGGGAAAACTGCCTTCCCCTCCAAGAAGAGTCCTCCACGCCGCAGTGATCTCCCTGTCCCACAGTCCATCTGCCCTGCTCCTCTGAGTCCCTTACAGAACTGAGCAGGGCAATGTCTTTTCTCCTGCCTCCTTCTCTCCACCAATTGCTCAACCAGGGGTGTAATGAATAGAGATGGGAAGATGCCGTGAGAGGCATCAATGAAAGGGCACTGTCATCAGAGTGGGAGACTTGGTCCATGTGCTAGTTATGTGACCCTGGACCACTCTTACTGGGGCACTACAGAAGAATAAGCAGCAGACTGGCCCTGGGAGAGTCTGATGTCTGCTGGCACAGGGCTCCTTTCATGACTTCTTTATATCTGAAAAACCCTTCACAGTATATGGAGGGCTTTCACAGCCACCTCACTGAACCTCACAAAAGCCAGTGAAAACACGAATCCCTTTGACAGATGAGGAAACCAAGGTTCTGAGAAGCAAGTCGCTTGCCTAGGTTCCCAATGCTAAAGCACCTACCAGTCCAAGGCTCTCTCTACTTCATCATTGTGCTCTCTTTTAGAAAGTTCCTGAGCAGCAAGATGAGCAGGTAAATGCTGGCTTCAGTGCCATTTACCCCAAAAGGAGCAACAGGCATGGGAGATAAAAGATCCTGCCATGGGTACCAAATGAAATGGATTCTTAACAACAACAATACCTCCTGCTTCACTGGCCAGTCTGCCCTGCTCCTGTCTATTCCTTACAGAACTGAGAAAGGCAATGCCTTCCTCCTGCCTCCTCTTCACTGACTTCTCAGCCAGGTGTATAATGGGAAAACTTCAGTAGAGAGATGGGAAGACACCAATGAGAGGTGCTACAGTAGAGCTGATACAATGAAAGGATGTTCTTCAGCAGATAGAAAGGTCCCAGAAGGGTCACAGCAGCATTTCAAGGGGTCAACTTGGAGATTCCAAGTGCCAGAAATTAATAGTGTCACTCTGTCATGAGTCAAACCAACAGGCCTGTCTCAAGGGTTTAAAGCTTAGGCATATGTAAAGTGCATGTAAACTAGGTCTGTGTTTCACAACTTGATACTTTTTATGAGACTTGTTTAATGACAAAGTATCAGGATTTTATTAATGCATTTAATGAGACTTGGTTATGTGTACAAAAACATGAAAGTACCAAAGAAACATTTACTCCTACAATAAGAAAACTTGATGAAAGGTCTGGGCACATGTCATATGGACATTTTCTAAGTGCTATGAGCCATCTTCCCATGGGCACGTCCTTTCCTTTATTGGTGACCTTAACATTCTTGGACTCCTGATTTTGTTCAAAACCCGCAATAAGGCTTGTTAAGGCCATGGATGGCAAATTTTGTGCACAATGTGTACAGAACCATGTCTCCTTAGGATCAAAGAAGAGGGATCTAATTTATGGGCACTCATAGGACAAGTCTTACGTTAAGTGCTTTATATTTATATTATTTTATTTAATCCTCAAAACAACCTTACATGGCAGGAAATATTATACCCATGTTACAGATTAAGTAATTAAGATTCAGGGCTGGGCACAGTGGCTCACACCTGTAATTCTAGCACTCTGGGAGGCCGAGGTGGGAGGATTGCTTGAGGTCAAGCATTCCAGACCAGGCTGAGCAAGACCGGGACCCCATCTCTACTAAAAATAGAAAAATTAGCCGGGCATCGTGGCCCATGCCTGTAGTCCCAGCTACTTGGGAGGCTGAGGCAGGAGGATCACTTGAGCCCAGGAGTTTGAAGCTGCAGTGAGCCATGATGATGCTACTGCACTCTGGCCTGGGCAACAGAGCGAGACTGTGTCTCAAAAAAAAAAGAAAAGGAAAAAAAGAAATTAAGATTCAGAGCTCACACAGCCAATGAGTGACAGCGCTGCTCTTCGATCTAGGTTTGTCTGACTCAAAAGCACATGCTCCCTAAAAAGACACCTAAATAAATCTGTTTCACCTTAAATATAACTCTACTGTCCCATATTTGACTTCATTTTCAAGCTGTCCATCTATAAAACTTTAAATTTCAATAATCTTTCTAGGTATGTGCAGAAAACCAGCAAAGGCACCTAAAGGCAGAATTGTCCTCATCTCGGCTCCCCAACCCTAGTTGGCTCTGTGTATCTACGGGTTCTGCATCTGCAGATTCAAACAACCACAGATGAAAAGTATTGGAAAAAAATAAGTAAAAAGTAACAATATAACAAAAAAAATAATAGGAATTTTTAAATACAGTATAACAACAATTTATATAGCATTTACATTGTATTAGGTATTATTATAACTAATCTGGAGATTTAAAATATATGGGAAGATGCATGTAGGTTATATGCAAATACTATGCCATTTTTGTAGAAGGGACTTTAGCATTGTGGATTTCTGTATACACAGCAGGTCCTTCCCGGAACCAAACCTCCACCAAACAACAAGGGACAACTGTAGACACTCATTCACCCATACTTCCTCTGGCCAGACACCAAATCTTAACCAAATAATAGAAATTAGGTAAAGCCACAGGTTGTAATCAAATTCTCATAACTTTACCAGTTCCCATCTAGAAGAGTCTATTTAAAATTATACTTATTTCATGGAGTTAGTTTTAAAAGAACCATTGTGTCTAACAGTTTGAGGTCTTTTAGCATTTGCATAAAAAACACCCCAAAAGAATATAGAAATGAGACCATACCAAGCAGCCCACAGAAAGAAGCATGTGAAGCAACACAATTGTCACAATTGTGGCCAATGCGATGCGCCGGTTATCCTCACGAACAGCTGGCCAAAACGTCATTGCCAAGACAGATCCTGAGATGCCCAGGGCTATCATGACAAGAATCCAACGAACAGCTTTCTGGGGGATAATCCACAGTATCTGAAAGAAGAGAAAAGAAGGGAGGGAGGGGTCCTTTGGAGGCATTTCAGAGAGGCATTTGTTTATTCTAGGCAGGTATGTTTACAAAGGCCCCTGAGCCAATCAGCAGCCAGGCCCCAACTGAAAAACTCTAGTTTTTCAGTACAGGCTGGAGAACCACCACCAGCATGTAGACTGAGGCAAATGCTTTTACAACGAAGAGCTCAGGATCCCGTGAAGGCACTTGGCTCCCCAGGCCCCACTCATGCTGAACTTCTAAATTCAGAGGGGAATTTTCAGGAGCACATGAATGTTAGGCTGGAAATAATGATGCTTGGCCACATTCATAGTTGAAGTTTCAACCAAGATCAGAGCGTCACTCAGGATCTGTCCCCCAAGTGTGGTACTTACTGCTGTGGGGATATAAATGAAGAGTGAATATCCATAGACGCACACAATCTCCAGAAACGAATAGGAAACAATGTTCATAACTTTGCTGTTTCTCCACATGAGGAAACCCCAGAGTGCGAGAGGAACCAGCCAGGCGTAGGCATAGATGATGGTGGCTGCTATGGACACTAAGGGTGACAGGACACAAGTTTCAATTGCCATCATGTCTTAATGGACTATCAGAGCACTTCCAGTACCTTACTGTGTTTATTTCCTAGCATGTCAATATACTTCAATGGACCATGGAATCATGTCCTACCGGTCTGTATTCCCTGAGCCTGGCACAGTATCTGACATACAGTAGGTGCTCTACAAATGTTTACAGCACTAAAGAATCTTTAGCATTTCCCTTTCTGGTGATGACCAGTAGTCTCTCATATGATTTTTATAATTCCTTTAATAACAACTAATATTATTAAACAACTGAATTAGGCAACTGAAATACTTCAGAGGCTCCACTGCAAGTGTTTAAATCTGCTGAGCATTTCCATCAAATAAAAGCCAACCATGCCTTGGAAGAACACGTCCTCTTCCCTAGTATAACAAGAGCTGACACTGATTTCTTAAGCAAATTTATTAAACTGCTCTGAGTACAAATTAACTTGCTCTGCATGCTAATTAGAACTCCTTCTGTCTCTAAAATAGGAAGTTCCAGCTCATTGATGAATTGCTTGAAATATTCTCCAGTTTTACTTTCTTCCTTAAATAAATAATTCTGCCTCTGTGGGGGAAATGCTATTGAGTGCCTCCTCAGAATAGCAATATTCAGTATATCACTGATGCATTTTTCCTCTCCTGGAGTGGAGGATCATAAAGTTATGGCTAAGCACATGGCACCAGCCCTTTCTACATAAAAATCAGCAGGTAATTCACTTGCATGCATCTTGGCAGGAACAAAAGCATCCCTGGCAATTATAGTCAGACTCTGGGTTAAGACATGTGATTGTCCAAAACATTTTTAGCTCCCAAAGCAGTTTTTTCACATTAACTCCCTCATTAAGCCAAATGTAATTCGGCTGATACACTGCCTTTTTCTTAGATAATAAGGGAAGAGGAAGGGAGTACTACTATGACTATAGCTACCACTTGCTGATCACCTCCTGGGCACTCAGTGCTTTACTGACAGGCAATGTAGTACCACAGTCAAAGGCACAGATTCTGTATGTAAACTCCATGGGTTCTAATCCTAGGCAAAGTAACTCGGGGTAGTGAGTTATATAACCTCATCTGTAAAATGAGAATAAAAATTTATAATACCTTATAAGATTATTAGGAGAATTAAATGAATAAAAATAGGCAAGAACTATTCTAAACAGAACAGTGATTGATAAACAATAAATGCTCAATGAAGAGTTAGCTTTTTATATTGTTAACTACTATGCAGATACATTATTTCATATAATCTGTATTTTTATTTTATTCTTAAATTTTTTTTTATTTTTAGAGATACGGTCTCACTCTGTTGCCCAGGCTGGAATGCAGTGGTGCAATTATAGCTCACTGCAGCCTCAAACTGCTGGGCTCAAGCAATCTCCCGAGTAGCTAGGACTATGGGTGCGTACCACCATGACTGGCTGATTTTCTTAATTTTTAGTAGAGATGGAGTCTTGCTATGTTACCCAGGCTGGTCTCATGCATGGCCTCCCAAAGCACTGGGATTACAGGCATGAACCACGGCACCAGCCTATCTTCATTTTAGAGATGAGGAACAGGTTAAAAGAAGCTAAGTTGTGTGATTAAGGCAACATAATTAACAAGTCGGTGGAAGCAAGATCTGACCCCACATGTGACTCACACCCTTTAAATGAAATGGAAAAATGTTTATTGATAGGGCCAATGACTATCTTACTGGTACAGACATCACATCACTCCCTGATACTGGGATGCCCAGCCAAAGAGGATGAGAACAGATAAAGACCCTCCTGAGCTTCCAGATCCCCAGGCAAAGTGGGTCACTCTTTCTACATCAATATACCAATACATACCTCTAATATATACACCTCTAATACAGAGGTTAACACATACTATTTACAGCAATATTCATTTACCTAGTTTCCTTAACCACTGAATTACTTGAAGGCAGCATTTACAGCTCATGGATGACATTTATTGAGTTAAACTCAAACCACGGTTATTTGATAAATAGAGTTGGGACTGAATCCAGGTCTGACTCCCTGATGGAGAAGGAAAGAAGGGAACGTGGGCATGGAAGGTAAGGGAAAGAAAAGAAGGAAGAATATTTGGATACTCTGGCACACGCACAGGCAAATACGTATCTCCCTATACACACACAGATATGTATGTGTACATATTTAGGTGTGTGTGTATATGTAGCAATAGTTAATATTTATTGAACTTTTTTGTACATACCATTGTTTTAACCTCTTTATATGTATCAAATCTTTATTCTTACAACAGCCCTATTAAAGAAGTTTTTTCTTTTTTCTTTCTTGATTATATTTACATTTTGCAGAAACGTATTATTATTTCCACTTTACCAATGAGGAACCTGAGGCCGAGAGAGATGAAAGAGCTTGCCCAGCAAGGTAGAAGCTAGTGGGTGGTGGAGCTGGAACTTGAAGCCAGTGGTCTGGTTCCAGAACCTGTGCTTGTCCCAGGCTACCTACAGCCTCCCAACACAAGAGTGGGCAGGGAGGGAGGCAGGGAATTGAGAAAGTGGTGCAGGTCAACCTCGTACTAGGCCAGACCTCCTCATTTGGGGGCAGCTGTCATCAGCAAGTCCCTAAAAGCTGTTTTGTGTTTTCTTTTAACTACCTAATATTGACATGAGACATGAAGTTTAAAAACAAGAATGTCATTCATAAGCCCATCACTAGGACACGTTCATTTCTGCATTTTCCCTTCCACGCCTTAACCATTTGCAGACTTCCCTTTAACAAAGTTGCTAACAGAACAGGCACCAGTTTGGCATAAGTTATCAGTTTCCACATGGCTCTAGGTGCTTCATAGTTAGTGATTTCAGGCAATGCTAGCTAGTGGAGCCATCGCAACTTAAATATTAAGAATAATGTCTCCCTTGTTTCCATTATTTGGACAATACAAATAATGCCACAATGGAGTCCTTTATGTACACTGTTTTTCACTTATTTTGTACATTTTTCTGAGAATAAATTCCAGTTGCTATTGGGTCTGGCCTTATAGCTTTCCTAAAGATTATGTGGATTCACAACATTGTGAATATACTTAACGCCACTGAATTGTACACTGAAAATGGTAAAATTTATGTTACACATACTTCGCCATAGTAAAAAAAAAAAAAAACGATTATGTGCATTTATAAAGATGGGTGGTAGTCTCCGAGGCAGTAGATAGGCTGGACCCTAGAACATGGAGAACAGGGCTGCAGTACCCTGAGATGGGGCCCCAGGGCTCAGTGGGTAAAAGGAACTCATGGTTAGAAAGCAATGGCACACAAATGAGTCAAGCTATTCACCAACCTTTCCGGAATTCGGGCACATAATGGTATGTCTTCTCCCCCAGATGGATTAAGAAGTTGGAAAGATTCCCACTGATTGCTATGGCAAAGACCAATGTGGCACATATCCAAAAGGGGCCTGCAAAGGAAACCAGAAAATTCAGAAACAAAAAAATAAAGCAAAAGCCTTTAGACTCTTAGAGAATAATTTTTTATCTCCCTCTCCCTATTCATGTAAGCAAGGAAAAATGAATTTTAGGTGTAATCAACACTTGTTTAATGGGAATTTTGTTTTTTAAAAGGTCAAAACACAACTCAGTAATTAGCTGCCTTAAATATGGGGTGAGGGGCAGGGATTTGAACCTGAAGGCCAAAACACCTTCCACAATTAGGGGAATAAAGACACTGATTTGTGTGTAGCTTCTTTTATTGGAGGATCACCAAAAAAAAACCAGGCATTTTGTTAAACCTTCCATCAGAATACATGAAGCAAGATTACTTCCCTTATCTAAGTGCCAAATGTTAATGTCAGAGAAAAATAAGTTAAATCAGACAGGTCTTTCTGCAGCATACACAAAAACAGGGTAGCATACTCAAAGAGCAGAGCAAGCAGAACACCTGAAGGCAGAGATAATTTAACCTATCAGTTCCCCATGGTTGTGTTTGTGTGTATGTTTAAGGCTTCCTTTCTTTTTTTAACGAAAAAGCAATACTTGTACAAGTTGTGTTCCAAAGGTACAAAAAGGAATATTGAGAATAGCAAGCTTCCCTCCCTCTCTGTGCCCTGGCTCTGCCTTTTCCCTCCCAGAGCTATATATTTATATACATGTTTTTGTCCATGGTTCCTGGCTTATAACTGACTCCCACAGCCCTTGTTACAGTAAACAGAATCTCTCTTTCCAACCTTCTCCTGCCCTCCTTTCACCTGCCCAAGGCAGGACTCTAATCTGACTGTGGGTCCTCAGACCCCCATTCCAGAGAGGGCCCTGCCCTATACCCTAGAGGAAGGAATGCTGCACAGAGAGGCCAGGAAGAATCTGAATAGACAGGCCTTGCTGAGTTTAGATCATACCCTTTTTGTCCAGTCACTTTTCTGCATGGTTGCCAATCATGCCTATCCAAAGATGTCTCCAAAAAAGGCCCAAAAGGATAGGATTTGGAGAGCTTCTGGATAGCTGAACAAGCGGTGGTTCCTGGAGGGTGGAGTACCCCAACAGGGCATGTAGGCACCACACCCCTTCCCCCACACTTCTCCCTATGCATCTCTTCCTCAGTATCCTTTGTAATATCCTTTGTAATAACCAGAAAACGTTGTTTTCCTGAGTTCTGTGAGCTGCTCCAGAAAATTAATCGAACCCAAAGAGGAAGTCATAGGAACCCCAACTTGAAGCAAGTCACTCAGAAGTTCCAGAGGCCCAGACTTACCACTGGTGTCTAAAAAGAGGGGGGCAATCTTGGGGACTGAGCCCTCAACTTGTGGGATCTGACGCTATCTCCAGGTAGACAGTGTCGGAATTCAATTGGAGGATACCCAGCCGGTGTCCACTGCTTGTTGGTGGGGACCCCCCACATTGGTCATGGAAGTATTCTGTGTTGATTGTTGTATTGGTGTGAGAGCACAGGAAAAGCACAGCTTGAGCATTTTTCACAAACGCCACTGTAACCAGTTTCTGGTGGATCTTGCCAGAAATATTCTATTCACATATAAGCGAACACATATGTGTGCATGTGCATGTTTTATACAGATGATAGCACACATATATATCCTGCTATGCACCTTTCTATTTTCACCTTACTATAGCCTAGAGATTCTACCATAGCCCTTCATAAAAATCAGTTTAGTCTTTTTTAATGGTCATAAAATATTCCACTGAGTGGATGAGTACACCATGCCTTGCAAACCCCTTTCATCATTTGCTTGATTTCATGAACACTATCCTTGTCTCTCCTCACCTAAAAAAAGTACTATGTAGAACAAATATAATTTTTAAATTGAGAGATTTTAATACTTTTATAAATTTCATTTTTCAATTTCACTAATATTTTATAATACAGTTTGGGATAATTTCAGGTACTTTTACATATCACAAAATTAAGAAAATTATTTATTGTCCTAGGAGGGGTGACTAGCAGAAATAGATTAGTACTTTTCAAAGCCAAGCACTGGCCCCTGAAGATGGGAAAGACAACATAAGCAATCAACCGGGATGCTCCAAAGAGTCACCAATGTTAGCTTTTCACAAATTGTCTGTTTACTCACTAGACTGTAGGCTCTGCGGTAGCCAAGGATGAAATCTCACCACATAAGAGTTCAAACAAACAAACAAAAAACCCACAAAACCCCCACAACTGAAGAGCTTATTGAATGAATGAACAAAACTGATTATGTGTTATAGATGGGCTGAGATCATCCAAGCAAATGACAAGTAGCCAAAATATTAAGTTATAATACCCATATAACTAGAAAGCCAAGATTATCATACCCTATTGGCGATTATTTACTGAGTATCCATGACCTCTAGGCCCCAGGGTAGGTGCTAGAGACAGTCACTGGCTCTGGTGCACTCGCGCACACTTTGGAGACAGACAATAAAATATCTAATCTCAAGAGTTTTGAAGAGGGAAATGCAGGGTGCCCGTGGGAGCAGAGGGGAGGGCACCAAACCTAGAGAAGGTGGTGTCTAAGCAGGGATCTAAAGAGAGCGGGAGTTACAAAGTGAAGACAGAAGAGTGGTCCAGGAAGAGGGAACGGCATGAGCAGAGAACCCAGAAGATACGACAATTCGAAGCTAAGGAAGTTTGAGGTCGGGAGTAGCCCGAGATTGGAGAGATGGGCCAGGATCAGATCATGAAGGGTTTTAGAAGGGCCTTGTTGAGTTAGGAATTTATCTTGAGTGCAAAAGGAAGCCTGGGAGCTGGAGCGGTGGTGAAGCCTGTAGTCCCAGCTACTCAGGACACTAAGGTGGGAGGATCACTTGAGGCCAAGAGTTCAAAGCTGCAGCATCCCATGACCTCGCCTGTGAATACCACTGCACTCCATCCTGGGAAACACAGTGAGACCTCATCTCTTTAAAATAAAAAAAAAAATGGAGGCCAGCACGGTGGTTCACACTTGTAATCCTTGTAACTCCTGACCTGAAGCAATCCTCTACTAAAAATGGAAAAAATTAGGCAGGCATTGTGGTGTGTGTCTGTACTCCCAGCTACTGGGGGGTGAGGGAGGGAGTGCGTCAAGAGGATCGCTGGAGCTCAGGAGGTTGCAGTGAGCTATGATCGCACCATTGCATTCCAGCCTGGGCAACAGAGAAAGATCCTGCCTCAAAATAAAAAAGGTCTGGTATGGGGAGATATTTATACTGATTTAAAGACTTGTCCAGCATTCTCTGGCTGCCCCATGCCCTAAGCTACCTAACAACCCTGGCACAGGAACAGCCGAAGGAACAATATTTTCAGGTGGTCTGAAATATCAACTCCTGCCCATCCTACTATCCCTGTCTGGCCCAATCTCAATAAATCATCCTTTGGCAGAAGCAAGAAAACTTTCCTAGCACTTAGCATTCTTGTCCTCTTTGCTATTATCCTCTTTCCCTACTTTTTGCAACCTTCAATGAACCTCTACTGCTTAAGGACAAAATTCAGATTCCTCACGCTGATATAAAAAGTTCACCAGATTTGGGCTCTGTAAGTTCTCCAGCTGTCCCCAGAGGCAGCTTGGACTCCGGAGACATACGACACCCACTCATCCCAGGGCCTGCCATGTTGCTTCGCACTGCCTTCTTCCCCTTTCCTGCCAAATTCCTACTCTTATTATAGGGTGGGGGTGGTAGAGAGCCTTAATTTAGTTTGTATTTAAAATTTCACATTATACATTTTTGTATTATGAAATATTTCTAACATACAGAAAGGCACAATGAATTATCTTAAAAAAAACACTGGTGTACAATATCTTGCCACTTAAAATCTTTTTTTTTCCTTGGAGACGGAGTCTTGCTCTGTTGCCTAGGCTGGAGCACAGTGGTGCAATCACAGCTCACTGCAGCCTCAAACTCCTGGGCTCAAGTGATCCTCCTGCCTCAGTCTCCCAAGTAGCTAGGACTACAGGCACATGCTATCACATCCAGCTAATGTTTTTATTTTTTGTAGAGATGGGGTCTCATTATGTTTCCCAGGCTGGTCTCAAACTCCTGGCCTCAAGCAATCCTCCTGCCTCAGCTTCTCAAAGCACTGGGATTACAGGTGTGAGTCACCATACCTGGTCTAAAAATCTTTTCAATGTTGTCATACTATTCATATCCTTCTACAACATGCTCTTTTTTTTCATTTACCATTGTTCTGAGATTTATCCATTTATCCATTTAAAAAAACTATAGAATTCCATGTATGAATATACCACTAATTATTTATCCATTCTCCTGCTGATGGATATGTTGGTTGTTTCTAAACAATTTCTATTACAAGCAATGCTGCTGCAGTAAATAATATTCTTCTATATGTCATCTTGTATATATGTGAGTTTCTCTAAAAATGTACATCTGGGAGTGAAAATGCTGAATTATAGGATATGAGCATCCTAAAACTACTCCAATTTGTGTACCAATTATATACCCACCGGCATTGTACAGAAGTTCCCATTGCTCCACATCCTTGACAACACTCAGTATCAATGTCTATGAAATCTGACTTAAAGTCTGTCATTCCTCTGCCCAAACCCTCCAATGGCTTCTCATTCAAGTAAAAGCCAAAGTCTTCCATGTGACTTATGAGACCTTACGTAGTCTGACCCTCCACACTGTCTCTGTGACCTCATCTCCTACTAGGCCCCCTCATTCATTCTCATCTGGTACACTAGTCTCTTCACAGTTCTTTGAACATACTATGCAAGCTCCTGCCTCAGGACCTTTGCACTGCTGATCCCTCTGCTTCAAATGCTCTTCCCTTAGGTATCTACATGAATCACTTCCAATTCCTTCATGTCTTTACTCAAAATTCACCTTTTTAAAATTTCAAATTCATCCATCTACACAAATATTTCATGTCCTTCCTATCTGCTTGAAAATTTTCACCTTAGCATTTGCTGCTAGAAAACTCTGTATTTTACTTTTCTTTGCTTACTGTTAAGCTCAATCGATTACAAACTGCCTAAAGCAGAGATTTTTCTGTTTTCACTGCTGTATCTCTAGTACCTAGAACAGTAAGTGCTCAATGTTTGTTAAATTAATTGAGTGACTTAATGAAAACAAGCCAACTTATATTAATTTAATATGCTTGTTAAAATAACAGGTATAAATAAATACCCTGTTTTAATTTCCCTGACTACAGGTGGGGCTAAGCAGCTTTTCATGTATTTACTGGCCATTTGGGTTTCCTCTTGTGTAAATTGCCCATTTTTCCCCAGAGTTGCTTGTTTTATTTTTATAGTTTGTAGGAGTTCTAAATATACTCTGCTTCTCATCTTTGGTTGGTTATGTGCATTGCGAATATTTCCCCTTGCCTGTGGTTTATTTTTTTCCTTTGCTTATGTTTTATTTTGTTGTGTTGAAATTTTTAGTTGAAATGTACTCAAATTCATCAATTTTTTGGTTATACTCTGCAGAGTGGCAACTTTCTCCTAACCGCTTTCCTCCAACCCACCCTACAAGGCCTAGTCCTCTCTAATGTAAAACACTTCACCTACATTGTACTTCCTCCTTTTAACCACGTCTATGAGCTAACGAGGCTACCTGTGTCATGGAAAGAAGCAAGCTTTGGGTTCAAATCCTGGCTTCATCACAAGAGGCAGCATGGCATAGTGAAGAATATGGATTATGAGCCACGGTGTTGATCTGAAAACTGAGCTTGGCACTTACTGGCTGTGTAATCTCAGGCAAGTTACTGCATCTCTGTGTGAATCAGTGTCCTTATCTATAAAACAGGGATAATAATGGTATCTGCCTGATAAAGTTGGGGTTGTCACAAGGATTAAATTAGTTAATATAGGTTCTGCCTTAATAAGAGAGTCTGGCACATAATAAGCACAATATGTGCATGCTAATATTGTCATTATTGCTAACTCTGTGAGTACGGGCAAGTTACCCTCCTCAAGCCTCAGTTTTGTCTTTTGTAAGATAAGGCTACCTTGGAGTATGGGAATAGTACTAGTAAAATAGTAAAATAGTGTTTATCTCCATGGTTGGCAGTTATAAGGTACTCAAGAGATGTTAGTTCTCCTTCTTCTAACTCCTGTGTCTAGGTACTATGGCCTTATCTTTAAATCCTCAGCCTCTAACACAGGGCCTAGCTAAGTGTTCAAAAACTGTTTGAGCACCTGCTCTGTGCCAAGCCTCTGCCAGGCACTGAAGGCATGGGTTACTGAGACACAGAGCCTCCCAAGGGGAGACAGCTCATCTGAGGGCAGAGCTGGAACTGAGCACATCAATGAAAAAGTGTGAGAATACCTTCTCTCCCACCACCAAATCCTCCATAAACTAAAATCGACAATCTCCTCTTAGTCAAAGTGACTTAATCTGTCTCAAGTTTGTAATGTCATTCAAAGAGTTTTAAAGGATATGCTAGTACTTGTAATTATGGCATTAATATAACACATAATTGCATCTTTCCAAAAATTCTTTGCAAAGGTTGCTACTGAAGCTCAGAAGAATCAAAATCTTGCACACCCCACTAACAGTGCAATCCAACTTTCTAGGCAACCCTCACACGCACCCAAGTTCAACTGAAACATGGTAAAGAATCAAATCAGCACTACACATACCATAGAGATCTGGATTGCTGCGTATATATAATCTCACAAAGTTTTTTCCAGGTATCGGCAAAAGAGACCCTTTAATTCTGTCAAAGACCTGGAAAACAACACAGTGGTGATTCTGCTGAAGATTTTTTTTTAAGCTTAATAAATTCAACTTCCACAAAATTGAAATTCAGTCAGAACTTTTATGATAGTATTTTCAAATGCTAACAACCCTTTACTTTTGTAAGACCATGTCCAGTATATAAAGGCTTTCCCATTTATTTGATGGTTTAACCATAGAAGAAACAAGCCTCCATTTCACGTAAAAGGAAAGATGAAATTGGTTTACAAACCTGGTAAGTGTCCACATCAAAGAATGTCTGATAGTATTCAAATGTCCAGAAGGGAGAGCTTTTCTTCTGTCCAGCAAGTAACTGTCAGAGGTAAAATAAAACATAATGAACACAGAAGCAATTTTCTAATTCTAGCTGCACAGAGAGACAGAGAGGGAAGGAGCTGATCTAATGGAAAACCAAAAAGTATGAAACACCAGGCTCTTCTGCATTTATTAACCAACTCTGAAATAGCCAACACTCAACTCTCAGCCTGATATAAAAACACGCATCAGTTTTTTTAAAGTCACACCAAAAGGGTTCAAATCCTGGTCCCTCTACCGAGGGGAGCTTCAGCAAATCCAGACACTAGACTCCTCTTAGGCTTAACTCCCTTATCTAAAAAGTACAGCTGGGAACCTATAATCAGGTTGCAGTCTTCAAACTCAGCCCAAATAAACTCTCTACTTATATTAAAAACAAACAAACAAAAATACAGCTAACAAGATCTACCTCATAGGATTATAGGGCAGATTGGATTCAATAGTATACAGAATATGTATTATGTACAATAATATATACACATACACATATACATAAAGGCAGTCAGTATAAATGTCTTTTCCTCCTCCATCCGTTCAAGGTCCTTCCTAATAGCCTCCTAAATTCTCAAAAATCTGACATACTGACTCAGTACTAAAAACATTACTGCTCTGACAAAAAACCAAAATTCCAATTTAGAAGAGGCACATGAGGAGGGCCATGCCTATCCCAACGCATAGCTCTTCAACAGCAGAATGCAGGCCCTATGTCAGGAATCGTGACTGCCACCTTCAGATATCTGAAGAGGATTCATACAGCAAAAGTACAGGTGGACTCTGAGCAGCTTTGCAGAAGGGCAGCTGCTATGGGCAGATATTTTTTGCTCATTATAAAAGAAAAAAATTTCACAATTAACATCCAACAGTGGCAGCTGCTGCCTTACATGGTAGTGAACAGCGTGTTTCTGGAGGTATTCAAGGGTTTTCTTTCAGACATACCAAGGACAGTATTAATATCTTGGCAGAGAGGCTGAAATGGAGGACCCTGAAGGTTCTTTCCAACTCTAATATTACAAGACACTGGACACAGGAGCCCCACATTCCATAAGCAAGGCTCTCTGTCCCACCACCCCAGGTCCCCCCACCTGTGTGCTTCCCATGGACAACAATGGGCTGTCTGCCTGTTTCCCCTACCAAGGCATAGGTCATGTGTCACTTACTTTTGCATTGTCACTGCCTGACACTGTACCTGGCACACCGTAGATAGTGAATAAAGGCATGAACAAGCCTTAAAAAATCTTTTTTAAAAAAATTCAAAAATAAGTTCAAACCTCAGTTTTGTCAGAGTCATCATTTCCTAGTAACTCATCATCCTCTTCTCTCCCTGAGCCTCTTAAGGGTCCTGGCTGATGTTTAGGGGTTTCATGAGGATCTTCAATGCTTATTGTGGTGGCATCTGGGTTTGCTGCTAGAGAAGTGGCTGTACCACCAAATTCTGAAATCAATTAGAGCACAAGGACCTCAGAAACCTTACCCACACAAGAAATGCTATACTTTTAATTTAACAACAAGCTGTTAACTTTGCTATAGACCCCACTTGATACAAATGGCAAAATGTCTGAAAAAAATCTCATCTGAAAATCAATCTGACATAGAGAAAGGATTATGAAGACAACAGAATTTGGAATCAGACCTGGATTTTAGGTCTGGCTCAGCTTACTAACCACATGAGCCTGAGTAGTTAACTTAACCTCTATAAACTTCAGTGTTCTCATCTATATGATGGGAGAATAATATTTCTTTTAAGGAAATTTAGGAGAGTTAGGAAGATTAAGTAAAGTTCTAAATTTCTCTTCTTTGATTCAAGTTCAAATATTTTAATGGAATTCATTTTTCCAATAAGTCCATGCAATCACTATAGAAAACATAGGGACAAAAGTGAATGTGGAAATCATAGAGTAAAAATCATTCTTAGTCCCATCACATAAAGGCAAACACTATTAATATTTTGGTATAGTTCCTCTTCTTTGCATAGTGAGATTCAGGCCAGTGATGATCATCCATTTATTCAACAAATATTTACTGCATGCCTACAGTATGCCAAGTACTGATCTAGGATGAGATAATACAAAATAAACAATTTTGTATCCTGCTTTGTCTACTGAGGATTACATATAGAAATGAATTTTTCATATTTTAACAGTCTCTAAAATGATCGTTTATGTGACTGTGGAATATTCCTTTGGTGAAGATTTTATTACAAATACACAAGAAATATGTCTGTGTAGAGAAAGTGTTTTGGGGTATAGCCTTAGGATGAACACCTACCACTGTGATCACTAAGTCCAAGGGTGCAAATCATTTTCGAGGCTCTTGAATCACACTGTTAAAACTGCTTTCCAAAAGGACCTTACCTATTTATGTCCACCAGCAGTGACTGAGACTTCCTGTCTCTGAGCATCCTAACATACTTTATTTAGCTCCTCTTGAATAAAAGCAAGAGCCTTTGAAGGCCTAAGAAAGGCCTACGAAAGAGTACCAGCAGGGTACCATTATAACACTACACGCATGGCACAAATCCTAGCAGCAGGATGGGGCTCTTGGATAACTGAGCTCATTCTCATTGCCTCTCAGCTATATGAATAGTTTTACAGAGAAAACTAGAGTGATTGAAATCAATCAAGTGGCTAATCTGTAACAATTCCTGAAGCCTCAGTTGCCAATGCTGGGGTTGTTTAAGCCAGCTTGAGGCTCTGGAGTGAGATGGTCCTTACCTTGGTAAGGCTCTAACACTCAGTAGCTCCATGACCTTGGGCAAATTACTCCGTATCTCTGAGTCTCTGTTTCTTGAACGAAAAGGTATAGATAATACCTACCTCACAGAGAGACTGTGAGGATGATATAATAAAAATTGTTATAGCTACCACTTATTGACTGGATATGACACTGACATTTAAAAAGATGGTCACAACTTTGCCAGAGGGAATCAGACCAAGGAAGATACTTAAGTCACATATTTAAAAAGCTGTGGTTTGCAAGGGTGAAGGGCATGCCAGCAGGAAGAACAGAGAGTGCCACTTTAGAAGTGCAAAGGTCAATACTCATCTAGTTGATGAGATCAGGAAAGGCTTCTTGGAGAAGATGCCACATGAGAGGATGGCCACAAGTGCTGGGGATGGCATCTCATGCAACAAGATGGGAATAAGCAAGCCCCAGAAGACAGGAAGTATGTCCCACGTTAGAGGGACAGCAGATGGAATAGTTTGATTAGAGAGTAAGGTGTGTGTATCTCTAACATGGCGACTCTTCACAAATTCCGCTCTGTGTTGGTAATTCCTATCCATCTCAGCTCCTTGAGAGCAAGACTGGTACACGTCTTATTTCTGCCATCGACATTCTCTGCTTCTACATTCTGGAATATCCTAAGCTAGCTTTTGCCTCTGTTTCTTTCCTGATACAATGCCTTCCATCTGAAAGTTCCTGAATTCCACTTTTACATTTAACACTACCATTCCTTATCAATGAGGCCTTCCATGACCCCCATAGCATCCTGCATTCCTTTCTAAAGACCAAAGCCCTTAACATAGTTTATAAAGCCCTGCATAAATTATCACCTGTCTCCTCTCAAGCCTCACCTTGTGTCAGCCTCGCCCACCACCTGTGATCTGGAACACAGACCTTCTTTCAATCCTTTGGGAAAAAAAATTAAGCAAATTTCCTCCCTCAGCAGGGACTTTGCATGTGCTGTTCTCTACACTTGAACTTTCTCACACTGTACTCCTAGATAGGGTGGCCAAGGAAGGCCTCTCTAATGAGGTGAGATTTGAACAAAGCAAGGGAGCAAGCCACGTGGCTGTATGGAGGAGGAATGTCCCAAACAGAAAGATGACACAAAAGCCCCAAGCTGTGAGCGTACTTGGACACAGGAGGAACGGTGACAGGCTTATGTGGCTGGAGCAGAGAAAGGACGAGAGCAGCAGAAGATGCAATCAGAGGCAGCAGATTATGGGAGGGCCTCCTAAGCCACAGAAAGGGCTCTGGCTTTCACTCCTAGTGAGATGGGAGCCACTAGAAGGTTTTTAAAGAATGACATGATCTGACTTAGTTTTAAAAGGACGACTCTGGCTGCAAAGTATAGGCTGTAGAGGGGTAAGGAAGGAAGCAGGAAAACTAGTAGGAAAAAAGGGCTATAATTCAGACAAAAGGTGATAGAGACCTTGAACATAGTAGGAAGAGTGGTGAAGGTGGTGAGAAGTGGTGAGACACTAGATGAATTTTGAAGATGGAGCTGACAGTACTTGCCAATGAAGTAAATTTCTCTTTAAACATCGTATCTCCTCCTCAGAAATTAGAGAGCATAAGCTGTGACACCAGACTGCCTGCCAAATCTTGGCTTTACAACTTACTAACTGTGTGACCATTAGGCAAATCATTTAATTTTTGTGTGTCAGTCTCCTTGGTAAAACAGGGAGAATAAAGTATCTATTTCATAAAGTTGATATAAGGATTAAGTGAGTTATTTACAAAGCACTTAGAACAGTGCCTGACGTATAGTAAGTGCTACATAAGTGTTTATAAAACAAATAAGTATCTCAATCCTTAGTCTACATCAGGTTCTGGGTTCTAAGTACAAATATCGCCCTAAACTTTTCCTCCAGCACTTTATAGTTTGCACAATAGGTATATATTTCCTTTTTAAAAAAATTTATGAGTTGTTTATTTCTGGCATTTTATTTTTTAAATTTTTAAAATTTTAATTATTATGGGTACACAATAGTTATATATCTTTATAGGGAAACGTGATGTTTTGATACAGGCATACAATGTAGATTAATCAAATGAGGGTAATTGGGGTATCCATCACCTCAGGCATTTATCATTACTTTTGTGTTAAGAACATTCCAATTCTATTCTTTTAGTTATTTTGAAGTATACTCTAACTTATTGTTGATTATAGTACCTTTGTTGTGCTATCAAATATTGTTCATCCCATCTATCAAACTATATTTTTGCACCCATTAACCATACCCACTTTATTCTCCCCATCCCTGCTACCCTTCCCAGCCTCTGGTATCCATCACCATAGATATATATATTTAAATGATCATTAATATGTGAATGTTCCCCCCATGTACAAGATTTTTTTTTCTCCTATCTTTCTTTTTTTTTTATTTTTTAGAGAGAGCCCCGACCAAGGATTGAGAGCTTCATAGGGCAGAAACACTATTTGGGCCAGGTGCAATAGCTCACACCTGTAATCCCCACACTTTGGGAGACCAAGGCAGGTGGACTCCTTGAGCCCAGGAGTTAGAAGGGCTGCAGTGAGCTATGATCATGCTGCTGCACTCCAGCCTGGGCAACAGAGCAAGACTCTAAAAAAAAAACAAAAAAGAAAGAAAGAATGAAAGAGAGACAGACAGAAACTGTTTTGTTCATTCTTCTATCCCTGATAGAACAATTGTCTGACTCATGGTCACATTCATGAGATACTTATTGATTCAACGAATGATCTGATGACATTTCCTAATTATCTTTTTACACTTTTATCTACTCCACCAGTGTATAAACTTCTTAATCTTTTTATCTCTAGTCCAGTACAGTTCTAAGCATAAAGTAGATGCTCAACTAAAGCAAGAACCATATAAAGATTTTCTGTAATCACTGTACTAAATTTATGATACCCATTACCAATCTGAAGGGTTATTTGGCAAAAAAAAGAACAGCTAGTGTGGACAAACAGGAAAAATCTGGGTGTGGCGAGTCTTTCACCAAGATGTTTGAATTAATATTCTTTAATGGAGAAGGCAGTGCAGCAATGAAAATATGTTGCCGCGACTGTCGACGCAGTATCATAAAGATAAAGGTGGGCACCCAACTGATGTACCTTCAAACTGCAAGTCATCTACAGCTGCCATTCAGCCAGGGGGTCTTCTCCCAATTATGAGGAAGAAAATTTGCAGGGGTCTAAAAGGAAAAAATAAGTAAGCATAATAGAATAATAAAATATCCACAAACAAATCTTATTTCAGTGTTAGAAATGGTATTGCTTTTCCTTGCCTCCTTTTTCAGTGGGGTCTGATAGGTTTATACAAAGACAACCACTAAGCATCAGATAATATTAAAACTGTTATAAAGAATCTAACCCCATGGGTCCAGAGGTTCCAATCAATCTCGCTCACTGTGTGAATTAAAGACCAGGCGCAACCTGGAGATCGAAGGATGAGGAAGGAGAGGCTGAGGTTTGAGAGAGGTGATGGGGGCAGTGAAGAACGAAGACAGTTCGGCCCAGCCAGTGGTTAAGGGCACAGGCTCTGGGATCAGACAGACCTGGGTTTGATTCCCGATTCTGCTGCTTCTCTGCTGTGTGTGCGCTCCTCGGGGCCTCAGTTTCCTCATCTGTAAAATGGGTTCATAATGGTACCTACTCACACAGTGTGGGGCTACTAAATGAGACAGTGCGTGTGAGGCGCTTAGCAAAGAGCCAGGCAATTAGGCGCTGGAGTGTTCGCGACCCTGCAGCCTGGGGCACGGCGCAGCAGAGGCAGTGTTTAAGGAAAGAAGCTGGGCCGCAGCGGCCCGGGCGGGCAGGAGACCCCGAGCCCCTTCAGCCCCGGACTGGCCCCGCAAATCTGGCCGCCTCACCTCGCGGGGCTCGGCGTCCAGCAGGTCCCGGGGAGGGTCGAGCCTTAGACGATACCCGCAGGTTCTGGTCCAGCCCAGTTGCCGGAAGCCGGAGATCTGGCGGGCGGAACTTCTCCGCCTCCTCCGGGCAGAGCCCCGCCTTCTTAAAGAGGCCGCCGCTCCGGGAGAAGGCGCTCCCAGAGACCCTGGCGGGCAGCGGCGCACACGGCCGTCCCGTCTCCGCCCTCCGCAGGGTGCCCTCCGCAGGGTGAGCCTCGCGGTTTTATGGTTTTGTGGTTTTTTTAAAGAAGGGGTTCTTCCTCAGTCGCTCCGGCTGGAGTGCAGTGGCGTGGTCACCGCTCACAGCAATCTCGCTCTCAGGCGGGTTGAAGCGACCGTCCCGCCTTGGCCTCGGGAGTAGCTGGGACCTCAGGCGCCACCACGCCCGGACCTCGGGTTCTTAAAGAGACAGGCGCAGCGGGCGGAATGGCGGGTCGCTGTGAGAGGCTGCCTGCACTCGCCCCGCTCCCGTAGGCGTAGAGAATTCTCAAGGGTTTGGGCTTTTCTTAATGTTTGTTTATACCTCTTTTCTTATGGAAACATAAAATAGGGTCATGAAAGACGGTGGTGAAAAGGAAAAAAAGTCACCGGGGTCATCAATCTCCCAGTTTCATTTGGCCGTTAAAATGTAACCAGAGAGGGAGTGCTTGAGTCAATTACATTCTGAGTTTGTGAATGAGTGACCGAGGGCAGGATGATGTCTGTTCTTATGCGCACCCCGAGTAAGAGGTGATGTGTTCCTTCACTCCCGCCTATGCCCCTTGGGGGGCAGGGCTCAGGGGAGGGGTCTGGCAGGGACGGGCCACCCACTGTGTCCCCCAGGGCATCTGACCGCCACCTCAGATACGTCAGGGGCCCAGTAAACGACAGCGGGCTTTCACCGAGTGGACCTGGTGAGAAACGTTGTGCCTTGCCTCCTGCCTTTGCCTGGTTAACGCCTGCACATCCCTCAAGACTTTGGGGATAATTTCCTCCTCCTACGGGAGGCCAGCCTTTGCCTCCCAGGACTTCTTTTGCTCTCGTGGTTTCCTGGGTTTGAATCTACCGTGGCAGTACTCACCCCGAATTGTTTTTGTTTGCCCATCTTTGCCAGCCTGTGAGCACTTTGAGGGCAGGGACCAGGAATGATTCTGGTCTTCTTTTGGAGACTGTAACAAACAGGCCTCTTTCCCTTTCTTTATGTGTCTGCTGTTAAGGACTAAAGGTGTTTAAACCCAATGTGTGAGGCAAGGAAAAACTGAAATAGGCTCAATTCTGAGCAACAAATTGCTCAGGCTGGGCCAGAGCTATCCTGCAGTGAGCAGGACACTAAATTCACATGTGCCACACCACCACCACCAAAATTTGGTCATGAAAATTTGTAAGTAAAACAGGAAATTTCAGAGAACTTCAAAAATTGCAATGAACTAGTCCCAGATACTCAGTAGGTAGAGGTACCTGGGAGGTAAGGTTGAGAGAAGCCTGGCCTGGGCCCCTTTCCTTAGCTTGGCCTGTATTGCGTTGCTGGGTCTGTCTGGTAAGGAAAGCGTGTCTCTGCCTTGGTGGAACAGCTAGGTGGAGTCAGGCCAGCGGTGTGCGGAAGCATGCTCAAACCAGCTCAGGAGAGCCGTTGTCAAGTTTTCAAGAATTTTGTAGACCAGTTACTATAAACCCAGTCATTATTAAAAGCTAAATTATATCAGCTTATTAATAGAGGTAATAATATTCAAAGCATCACTTCCAAAATATTTTTCTACATTTTACTTTATTCTCTTGACATTATTTATGTCTATTTTATATGTGTACTACTAAGCATCTCTTAACACATGTACAGTAACGTTACATGGAGTAGTTTAAAATCAGCAATGGTGGAATTATTTACATTACAGGAATTAGCAAATGCTACATATCTGGGGTTGATTTATTGTTATTTATTTATTAGAAACAGGGTCTCACTTTGTCACCCAGGCTGGAGCGCAGTGACACAATCATAGTTCACCGCAGCCTCGAACTCCTGGGCTCGAGGGGTACTCCCGCCTTAGCCCTTGGCCTCCCAAACTGCTGGGATTATAGGTGTGAACCACCACACTGGCCAATTTATAGTTATATTGTCTATACCAAGGCTGGGAAACATTTTCTGTAAAAACCAGAATAATAAATATTTTCACAGTTGTGGACCGTACAGTCTTTTGCAACTATTCACCTTTGCTGTTACAGCACAAAAGCAGACACAAAGTATAAATGAACAGGCAGGCTGTGTTCCAATTAAACTTTATTTACAAAAATAGGCGGGCTCAGTTACTCACACATGTAAGCCTAGCACTTTGGGAGGCTGAGGTGGAAGGATCACTTGAGGCCAGGAGTTCAAAACCAGCCTAAGCAACATAGCAAGACCCTGCCTCTACAAAATTTAAAAATTAGCCAGGCTCTCGGCCTTAGCGCCATCTTTCTAGAAACCTCCATGCCTTGAGAGCCAAGTGGAGGAAGACATGAATGTGCAGGCTGAAGCACAAAGGAAGAAAGATGAGGCAGAGGTCCAAGTAAACCACTTGCTGGTGCACATGTGAAGGCCACAAGAGCAGAAACATGGAATGCCAGAGCCTAGAGACGCTGGTACAACTCGTTGGACTGCATGCTACTGTCTAGAACTTGCCTCTCAGTGGATCTAGAACTTCATCACCATCCAATTCCCAAGACCAGCTCTGAGAGACCCACCTTGCTCATACCAAAACAGTCCCTGTTGGTCCTTTGTCCTGCCCTTGACACTCTGGACTAGTTCTGTTCTCAGTTGTGGCTGAGTGTAACAAGTATACAATAAATCATAACTTTTGCTGTTTCAGCTGAAGAAACAAAAAAAAACCAAAAAATTAGCCAGGCATGGTGGCACACACCTGTAGTCCCAGTTACTCAGTAGACTGAGGTGGGAGGATTGCTTAAGCCCAAGAGTTTGAGATCACAGTGAGCTATGATGATGCCACTCACTGCACTCTAGCTCAGGCAACAGAGGGAGACCCTGTCTTAAAATAAATAAATTAATTAAAGGCCAAGGGCCAGATTTGGCCCATAAGCTAGTTTGCCAACCCCTTCCTGATCTAGATTTAAGATAGTGATGTAGAAAATGTTAATAATGCAGATTAAATATAAAAGCACGTGTTGTATCTGTAGTAGCAATATTATGAATATCACAAAAAATTGAGGCAGTATTCTTTGAGTACTATACTAAAAACATGTTAAATCATAAACAGATGAGTGAAATTTTGACATATGTTTTTCATTTTCATCTTACTCCTTAATTAACATTCACGTCCAAACTGTCATTGTTCTTAAATTGCTAACATAGGCGGGCAACAAAAAGCATTTGGCAAACATCAATGAAAGCATTCTATGAGAATCAATTGAATAGAATTTATAGTAAAGAATATCGTATATTTTATTATTATTTATAAATTGTTTACTATGCATCCCTTATATCAGTAAAAGTTACAATAAACCTATACATGTATACTGCATATGTATACTTTTTTTCCAGAAAACAAGCAGTTAAACCTTTCAGTGCAGGCCCAGGGCTCTCACCAGAGTGCTCTCCCTTGCTCCTTACTGATTATGGAGAAGACAAGGAGGATTGCAATAGCTCAGTGCACTCCAAATCTCAGTCATCCATGGCCACCACCATGAATTCAGCCACACCTCAGAACTACCTGCAACTACACTATATAATTTACGTAACCCTCCTTTGCCTCGGAACAAAAATTGACAAAGGTTAATAGCCTGACTTCACAGATACTATAAACCAATCTGTATCTATTGGTTAGCTCTATGTATAATGTCCTTGTTGGGTTTTTTTTTCTTTCACAGAAATCCTTAATTTTGATTTAGTCAAATCCATCCATTTTTTTTCCTTTCTGATATGTGGTTTTCAGGTCTTTATTTAAAAGCCCCATGTTGATACAGTTATCCTCTATTATTTTCTTCTATTAGCTTTACTTTTTATGTTTTTAGGTATTTGCTTTACATCTACTGGTTTATTACAAAGGATAAAACTCAGAAACAGCCAGAGGAAGAGAGGCACACGGTGGGACTTGGAGCTTCCATGCACTCTCTGGGGCGCCACCCTCCAGGCACTTCCACGTGTTCAGCAACCCAGAAGCTCCATTTTTAGGTCTTCAGTCCATTTGGAGTTTACTATGTAAGTCTCCAACTGTATTTTTTTCCATAATAGTGAACCAGTTTTCCCACTGCTTCATGTTTTCCTCACTAAGCTGTGGTTTCATCTCCATGTATCAGCTCAGATAGATTGATCGTTTGATGGATAATCTATCTTTTTATTCAGCTCTCTATTCTTTCCTGTGCCACTACCATGTTATTTTTTGAATTACTCTGGCTTTGTTGTATTTCCTTGTGCTCTTATTTTTCAAAATTGATTTAGCTTTTTATGAGTTTTTGTTTTCCGTCTAATTTGAGATAGTTCTGTTGAATTTTTCTGCTGGAATTTATTTGGCAGAACATTGAATTTATACATTTATGGATTAATTTGGGAATAATTGAGATCTTTAAATAGACACTCCATTCATGGTATATTTTTCCCACTACTCAAATTTTCCTTTGTATCTTTCAATCCAGTTTTTATAGCTTTGAAATAAAGGCATGTGCAATCTACATTAATTCTTAGATCTTTGTAGTTTCCATTATAATTGTGAGTGATAGCTTGTTGTCTATTACATTTTTGGTTGGGTATAGCTAGTATTGAAAAACACTCCTGATTTTTATAAATTGATCTTGTAACCTGTCCCCTTTCTGAATTCACGTATTAGTTATAGTAGTTTTATAATAGTTCATCTGTTGATTCAGATAATGGATTGGATTTTCTTTGTAGTTGATCATATCTACATATAATGAGTTTAGTACATTCTCTTTCTATCTTACTATGCTTTTTTTCCTTGACTTACTGTATTTCCCAGGACTAATTTCTCTACTGAGTTTACTAGGGCCATATATATAATTTTTCTGTGAGCTATGTATATAATTTTTCCAAGTAATAAAGCTTCCTCTTATTCCTAGTTTTCTTAAAGATTTTCTTTTAAAAATATAAATAGTTCCCTCAGATACCTAAAGATAGGAAAAGATTTTTAA